AATATAGTATAGGTGACACCTACTCGAAATCAATTGATTATTTATTAAGGTGTCACCTATACTATATTTGATTCAGTCAAGAAAACTTTTACTTAGAAAAAATTTTTTTTTATATTGAATATGCTGTCACGATTGGAAGATTGGAAAGGGTATTGACTGAATTGGGCGACTACTGTCAATAGAAATCAAGCAGATTAACATTTTAAAAAATTAATCCCTACAAACAATGTCAACCCTCAATTCTGAAGATTATACAGTCAGACCTCTCTAAATGCACATCATCGGGACCAGCTCTAGCACATGCATTTAGAGGAGTATTGTATTTAGGGAGGTAAAAATCTATAGATATAATATTAGTTGGGCCCAAAAGAAGACATGCATTTAGAGAGGTGCTGCATTTAGGGAGGGTGCATTTAGGGGGTCTGACTGTAATACTCCAAATGAGAATTATGTATTAAAACAAGATAATTCTTCGGATATAGAAAATATTGATTCAAATTCAATTTATGAATTTCAATACTTAAAAACTACAAAAATGAATGATAGTATGAATAAAATAAGTATGTTGAATGATACGATTACAATTATCAAAGAGCAACTTAAAAATATTCGTGATTCAGTCGAAGAAGGTATTAGTCTTTCAGAAGAAAATATAGATATTGATGAAAATATTCAGCAAAAAATAAATGATGACATAAATGGAGATTGTAATGAGTTTGAAATTCTTTATTTAAATCCTATCCGTAACAAAGAAAAAATCTTGTTGGAAGAAATTGAGAAATTTAGTATTCAATTATGTGGTACCTATGAAATCGGAGTAAAAGGAATTCCTTATTTACTAAAAAATAAACCAAAATTTCCAGGTCGACTTGGTCGACTTCCAAATTTAATTCCGGGCAAAATTGGGTACAATTAAATATCAATTCCAATAAAAATTAAAAATTAATTATTTATATGATTCCAATTACGGAATTACAAATTTTAAATATAAATTTGGCAGAATTAAATTACGAGAATTATACAAGTTACCCCAGCAAAGGATACTGTATATTCAATTCTAAGAATGAAAGAATCAAGAAATAGACTCCCAATATTACACATCCAAAATATCTTAATCCGGTGTGTTCATGTGACCAACAGCCAATGATAAAAAATATAAGAATAAAAAAATAAGTGTTTTAAATCTTGAGGGACTAATAAAAAATGTCGGGATTATCCACAAAATCAAAATTCAGACAGTTGATTAACAAATCAAAACTAGTTTTCAAATCTGCCTTCACAAATCTTTCGGAATCTACTTCTTGGGTATTAACTTTGACCTAATATTGCACCCTGAATATTTTTGTTTAAGCAACTACGAAATTATTTTTATCATATTTGTATAATTATGAGTAAAATTTCCATGATACAAATGATAAACTACATATTCATTATCATTCTATTGTTATTATTTTTATTATTTTTGAATAAAAAGTAATTTTCAAAAGTGAGTTGGTTTTTAATTCACATCATTCTTGACAAGAATTGGATATATACCTATTAAAACCATTCAATGTAGTTCAATTCTGAAAACTGAACAAGGGTAGTGAAGCCAATGAAATTCAAAAATGTCAACTAAATGAAAAAAATGCAGATAAACCAAAAAAGAGTATGTCCCAAAATTTTATGAAAAGATCTGGTTATTTAAAAAATCTATTATAATTAATTCGAAAATTGTTTATTTCGTAAATTGAAATAAATTATAATCAGGGTACATTTTACATTTCAAATGCTAACATTTTTTTCAATCAACACATCTTTGTACAATAAATTCTACAGAGTGCATTAATTTTTAAAAACAATTGAATATAAATTTCTGAAATTCAATTGATCTAAATAATAGGTCAACAAGTTAATTTTTAGGAACAGACTACTACAATAAGAAATTTATCAATTGCTAGATTGAAGTACGCAATAATACAAAAAAAAATTGCAATTGTATATAAAAGTACGGTCAAATTTTACCAGTGCGCGAAATTATAATTAAATAGTCTTTTATTACATTTCAAATTATTTTTAAATAGCTTTTTTATATAATATTGAAGTATTTAAAGATTTTTTTTCATTTTTAAAGCTTCAAATTCTAGCTTGAATACTCTTAAAATATCATTATTTATTAAATGGAAATAATTTTAGTGTAACCACTAAAAAATACAAAAAATATAAATTCCTGAAAGTCTCTTTCGGGAAATATTGTTGTTATCTCATCATCTGGGATAAAAAAGCTATTAATGAAAAAAATATAATAAACATAGAAAAGGCAAGATCAACTATTTATCAAAACGAAAACAAAGACGAAGAGTTTTTGACAATATTTGTCTATAATTCTAAATTTGAAAACAATTTTGATAAAGCACTAGAGGATATTTATGGAAAAGGGTGCATTAGCCCAAAAATTCCTAGAACTGATTTTGTTGCCGTAAATGAAAAGAAAATCATTAATTTACTAAAGGATAGCATTTACGATAACTATGCAATTTCAAAAAATATACATGATAAAAGAGGTAAATTTTTATAGTTCATGAAAACTAAAAAGGTGAAAAATGCCGAGGATATTGAAATCTATTTTAGTGAATTCTTTTCTTAGAGACGCACCCCGTTCAATTATTTATACATAAAACTTCAGTTTTTGTAGTTTTTACAATAAAATAGTTAAACGGATCTCGAGCATTCAATAATTTTGCAAAATTTTATATATAATTTTGCGTCGTAAGATTCGGTAAATTAAAACTTCATGTTAATTTGCAATTTTGAATACATAAATATTTGAGTAAGTTTGTTCTAATGATGGACCTGGCATCCCAAATATGGAATATGGTTACATGAATATTGGGCACAATCAATAAAAAATTGTTCTTTTAGATAATTAATTAACTCATGTTCGCTAACCACCATTTAATGTATATTAAATGTTTATTAGTATTGTTTGATAACGCTTCTATTTTGTCTTTGCCGCGTTTAATCTTGGTTGAATTATTAACAACGACTCTACAATTATCTTGATTATCTACTTGATTATCTATTTTAAATTTGGAAGTTATTATATCGTGTAGTTCAATATAATTACTTTATTTAAAATTATTCCATTCCGAACAAAAAGTTTACATGAGAATGTATCGTATTTGATTTTAAAAGTAGAATATTTGATGGTATCAATAAAATCATCAGATGCCTCAAGGACTAGTGGAACCGCAATATTGTTACTTTAAAAATGAATCTTCACGTGGCATGAATCTAAGAATTATAAATTTTTTTGAAGACAAATAAACCAATTTTGCTAGCGTAAATTTATGATCTTAACAAATATCACAAATGTACGAAAAATATAAAAATGCTTATTTAATCTAAACTAATCAATCATAAACATCTTCATCCTCAGTATCTTCATATCATTTTCACTTTCGATTAATATTTCCATTCTTCGTCATTAAACATCGAACCGTACGCAACACTTTCTTTCATTATATTTCTAGCCTTGTCAAATCCACATGAAAAGTCCTCCATAATTAAATGCGTGGCAGTTTCAGGTTTTAGAACCATAAAAAGATAATCAGTTGTATTTTGCGGAGTGCACGTACAATTGTCAATGTTATAAAAAGTTCTTCTAATTTATTGGAAATTATTTGGAACTCTTTAGGTAGTGTTGTTAATGGAGATGGAGTACTCCAGACATTAATAAAACATATAACCTATTTCTGGAGTGCTCCGGAGTGGGTTATATGTTTTATTATTGATTGGTCACATTTAGATGTTTTAATAATAAGTGAATTCCCTTTTCAATTAAACTTAATGTTGGAGAATAAATTCGTAACTTACATAAAAAAGAAAATCTAAAACCAGGCAACAAAAGAAAGATGAGAGAATAACTAAAGACTTTGTAATTAAAAAAATTGTTGATCATGTCAGGTATCTCGGAAAAGAAAAGAAAAGGGCACCAGACGAAGACAAATCTCTACGAAAATGAAATTGATTGGTACGAACGTTGGAAACAAGAAATCGAAAATTTGCCCGAGGATGATCCTTTAATCTTTAAAGACATTTTTTTTACATTACAATATCGAAACAAAAGAACGTAATAAAGAAATTAAAAGGTAAATTGTTTTCTATTATATTTTTAAGTATAATTATTTTTTATTTTTGCTTTTAAATTTTATTTTTTATCGATTAGCTTACGTGAAGAAACTAATGATATCACATGATTTACGGACCCATGGGTCCGTGAGAGATATTATCTGCATCATTTAGCGTTAAGTTAACTACCATTTTTAGAGTAAACTATTATCTCCATCATCGTTAAATTCGCACTGGTAATAGTTTTTTTGCCTCGCTTGCACCATAATCATTTTTTTTTCCATGATCTTGGTTCCATTTTTTTGCGGGATAAAAACCAAGACGTTCGGCTTCAATAATGAGCTTAACACCCTTTGCAATATTTTCTTCACAACCAGCACCAGCAAGCAAGTGTAGTCCCATTTTAAATTTGACTTGACGTTTGAAATTGTCATTACCATCATCTTTAATTTTATCATATGTTACAAAAGCATTTTTATAATCTGATTCTTCAGAAACAGATCGCAATCATTTAGAACAAGCAGATATTTAGCTTCTTCTGCTTTAAATAGCTTTCGAGTATTTAAATATTCACGATATGCTTGAGCTAAGTTAGGCATCAAAAATTTTTAAAAAAAATTACGGATATCCATTAGCCTAATATTTATAATTTTAATAGAAAAACAGATAACGGATCACATCAATAATTTTTATTGCATGAAAAATTAAATTAGACATTTTTTATTTTTCACAGAATGAATTGATGATATAATTAATTCTGTATTAAAAAATGAAATTGAAGTAATTAAATAGTTCTGGAAAAAATGACAATTATATAAATAATCCCGATCACTATATCAAGATCGGGTAGGGATTCTGCTCGCTCTTTTTGTATTATATTTAGTTTTTAAAAAATGATTAAAGTCACGTTTATCTTATGGAGACAATACAAAAAAATATGAGCAGAATTATGTAATTTTGACCAATCAAAAAATTCAGTATGCGAATAATATTATTATGTATTAACAAAATTTTAACTTATTTCAAAGATAAAAAATTTTATTTTGGACCACTATTGAAACATCCAATAGCGAGAATTATTTACTTTAACACGGGATCAGGAAAGGGTTCGTGTAACTTACGAGTTGTACGTATTAACAAAAACACAATTCTAAGTTAGCGTCGGTCAAATAAAGAAATTTCATGTGAAATTTCTAAATATCCAGAAGTTACTTTGGGCATAATTTAAATACGTATTAAATCTATCAATGCGAAGTCAGAAATAACCCAATTTTACGATCGCTTGCTCTACGTTTATTAGACGTGCAACCTTTAAATTCTTACTCATAGTTAACACTTTGCGAATATGTGTTTCCAAATTTGGTTTTTTAAGCTCATCGTCGTTGCTGTTGTTGTTGCTGTTGTCGCTGTCGTTGTCTTTGTCGCCATCCCGGTTCCGGAGAGGGAAGATTAAATATTTCGAAAACATATAATGTTCTCAGAGTCACTCACTCTGGGTGCTTCCCTTCCGTGTAGAAATCGACGAGCATCAAACATTCCTCGTAGGTCACCCCTACAAGATCCACATTAATTTTTCACTTCACAAAGATTTTTAAAAATATCAATCAACTTAAATAAACCAACCATATTTATACTCTAATTTTGCCCAAATTTATATTCGAATTCTGCCCAAATTAAATCCTAATTCTGCCAAAATTTATACTCTAATTTCGCCCAAATTTATATTCGAATTCTGCCTAAATTAAATCCTAATTCTGCCAAAATTTATACTCTAATTTTACCCAAATTTATATTCGAATTCTGATCAAATTTATACTCTAATTTCGCCCAAATTTATATTTGAATTCTGCCCACTAATTTTACCCAAATTTATATTCGAGTTCTGCCCAAATTCTGCAAAATTTATACCATAATTTATACTCTAATTTCGCCCAAATTTATATTCGAATTCTGCGCAAATTAAATTCTAATTCTGCCAAGATTTATACTCTAATTTTACACAAAATTTATACTTTAATTCTGCCCGAATCTATATTTGAATTCTACCCAGATTAATTCTGCCAAATTTATATTCTAATTCTGCCCAAATTTATATTCGAATTCTGCTCAAATTAAACTATAATTTTTCATTCGAATTTCTCCTAAATTAAACCCCAAT